CGAAGTTATTGATACATGCAGCTATAATTAAATTTCTGGTTCTTTTCTGATTCTTTTGATATTATTAAATAATTTTATAAAAATTTATTTAACGTCATGTCTCGTAAGTGAAGTTAAGATGACCAAAGGATGTATACGTTAATTTAATAAATTAATTTGTATATTTGCAATATATGAAAGGTTTAATTGTTCTTCCAATACATAGACGTATATACAAAATAAATTCTATATTTCAAGTTATGCAGGAGTTTTAATCATTAGTTGCATCGGTCAATTCGAGGCTTTAAATCTAGAAGTATCATATTTTTTATTGAGTAAGATATTGATTAGAAAATGTTTAAAAAACATCTATCGATTGGACGGCGATTCCATATGATATTGTTATCAATTTTAAGAAATTTTTTTTTATATAACATAAAAAAACAGTTATCTCCGAATGCGCCGAATTTGCATAGTGGCACCATCTATTAATGAAATGGTGAACTAATCTTTCGTTGTCGTGCCAACGGATGTCGCCACTATGTTAATTTGGGAGAGTACATTTATAAGAGTAGTGCGCAATTCTTTGAGTTTCATGGACCAATTCGTGGTAACTGTGATCTACATCAGTGGAGGAAATCAGGAAATCCATTCAGGGAGACGAGAAGAAGAAGAGCTTCACGGATATCAACTTTTCTATTAGCTATTTTGACCGCATTTTTAAAATCCGATGGTCTTTTTTCCAATAAGTAAGTAATACATATTAAGTGAACTTATAGTAAATAAGCTCTAATAAATAAGTAAGCTTTATTAGTAATTTCTTAATATATATGATGTGATTATTAGATAAAAAATAGTGGACATTTGCGCTACTCTTGTAAATATAGAGCTCTAAATTTGAGAGCAAAGAGAAACCTAAGTTTGTGCTAGCATTTAAAGTTTGGTTCCACTAATTAACTTTAATTGCAGTTCAATTTATGCTTTATCTTTTTCTAATTCTAAGACTGAATATGAGATAAAGTAAATAGTAAGTTAAACCGAAATTAAAGTTAACTAGTAGGTATACACGCTCTTTTTTGCCTATGTGAAGTACACGTTAAAAAAATAAGATTGTGCCCATATCTTTAATATTGTCGCATTCAGCCGATTGACTTGTATGGCGCCATCGCGTTCTACTTTTCTCCCTCGAGAAAATCAATCGATCAGGATTATTTCCGTTGATGTTTGTATCAAGTTTCACGAGAATCGGGGACCTTTTCCAAACTTTCCCTGGAGCATCCTTTACGTCTTATTTGTCGGTAATATTTGGTAGCAAACAGGGGCGTAGTTGACTGAGTCTATCGACCGCAAATATCGAATGGACGAAGGCCGGAGAGAGCAGAATTCAGGATACAGGGTCCGTGGCTGCATACACAGCTCGGAATTCACAAGGGATGAGGGACGAGGGGAACAGTTTGGAATTAATCAGTACCGGTCTTCAGTAAATAACCGTAACGAGGATCCCTTGGTCAACTTAGCGAGTTCTCTAAGAATTCGACGAAAGACTACAACACATGCCGAGAAGGAACGATAATGAAGCCAGGGGCTTTTCCGATAGCGTTCGAGAGATGTTTGGTAATTTATTTGGTAAATTGCTACTCTTTCGCGAATACGCTCGTGATAGATAAAAATGGAGTTGAGCATTTAACTGTCTACAACTTCTAATAAAAAAGATAAATCAAATTAAATTAATAGAAGTGTATTCCGCGAAATGTTATTGTATTTTTCCAACTTTTGAAGAACTCCTAATTTCAATTGGAAATTGCTTTTCTAAATAATTGTTGAATTATTTCCTATTTTCTCCCATCTATAAATGATGATTGAACGATTCTCTTATTCAAAATCGGAATATATACATACATAATATTATATAATAGAGCGGATTTCTATTGTATTTTTATCATTAAAATTCCGGAAGTAAGTTCACAAAGGGGATGGAGATTGAAATAATATCGATTACATATAAATGTTTTGTGATATGTTACATTGGAAATATTTGATATCAATTATTAACCATGTTGAGCTAATTGGGACAATGTAAATGAATAGGTGGTTTTACGTGCATTGTTTGCCTGCCTGTTGTATTATTAATATGTCCTGTAATATAATAATAAGTTTAATAAAATTATGTTTCATATTACGTGCGATTCTCTCAGCATAACAGTTAACAGAATTGTTTTTCTCTTTTCTTTAAATTCTTTAAATTAGAAAAATAATTCCTTTTTAAATATATTTAGCTTTAAATATATTTAGACAACAGAATTTTCGGATATATCAAACTGACTAGAAATAAATTATACAGGAATAATAAAATTAGTAGTAAATGATAAATTTATTGAAAATAACAAGCTACCTTTAAAATAATAAATCACTTAGTAACGACAAACCGTTTGAAAATAACACACACGATTATTTGTTAAAATATGAATAATTTAATCGTTGTTAATTACCATTAATAATTTCCCATATGGATAATGAATTTTCAATACGTACTTTTGTAACTATATATTATGAACGTTCTATTTTCTGTTATTTGTGATCAACTGTCAGAGAAGCGTAGTGTCTCGTGACTCGTTATTTCACGCAATTCCTCGCTGAACTGAGCGTTTCTCTCTCGTCTTCTCGAGAGACTTATCGCCGTTTCGACTATCGACGTTGGGATTTTTCCGCGTGACACTTGTAGACCGCCGTAGGAAGCCATAATCCTTGGGATAAAAGAAATTAGGAGAGACGTGTCTCTTTGCGTGGATAGGATCAGGCGGGAGCAAATTACAGCGGTCATCAGTAAATCCCGCATAGAGATTTTGGATTCTGTAGAGGATCTTCTCGCGAACGACAGGCCGCAGACTCGTTCGTCGAGAACGGAGATTGATAAACCGCCGGCGGCCACCAATTAGCGTTTTTCCGCACAACGTACCTCCGCGTATTATGCATTATCTTTAGTTGGTTTTGAGGTAAAACTTCGCTGACTTCTCCTCCTGCCGATGATTTATGTCCGCGCCGTTTAACAAAGTTTTTATTCGCAGCCGGTGTTGTAAAGATGATTTATACGAAGTTCCCGGATCTTGCGGGATTTCGTTTTGACGTGGAAAATGCTCGCAGTATTTGATGACGCTTTTGTTACAGTCGTATGTAGAATAAGAATGCGCTTTTTATAATACCGGTGATTCTATAAACTTCCTGCAAACACCAAGAGTTTTCTTTACGTTCCTTTGAAATATAGCAAATTTCATCAAACATACGAATTAAGCGCATAAGATCCGAAAAGTACTTAATGTTTAGGTGGATAGATGGGATGGCCACAGCACCTTATATAGCAGCAAAATTATTGGCACAATATTAACTCAATATATTTCCAACGTTTAATAAATATATCGCCAATAAATTGCTACTAGAATTTAATTTACTTTAAAAGAAAGTGTTTTAGTTTTCATTAAAATCTTGCTTTAAAAAAGGAGAATAAAAAGTATTGTCCAGAAGTTTTATAAATTACTTTTACATTCTTCTATCTATAAGACTAATGTGATTTTAACTATAACATATGTAATATGATATTTCAACTATAACATAAAAATATAAAATTAAAATTTTTTGGTGGTGTCCTGAACACTGCTACTCACAAATCTTTGAGCTCTATCTACTTAAAGATTAATCTGTTTTTCGGAATAATATCTTGATCTGCGAATTGGTCGTTTTTCCACGAGTATCTCAGTGGAAATATCTGATTTTTAACGCTGAGATGAATTTCAAAAGGCGTTCGCTCTTTCTGCGAGAGTGACGCGAAATGAAAGTTACACGAACAGTTTTGTGCATGTAAATGTACTAGGCATTTGTGACTGGTTGCTGACTGAGTTTGTACGTGCAAACTTAAACGTTACGCGACCAAACGTGAAATCATAAAAGTTTCAGTCCAAGGTGGAGGTAACGGCAGCGCCGAAGCGACATTCAAGAGTACAGATGCATATATAAGTGAGCCAATACTGCGGTATATTTTAATCCGTAATCACTCGAAGGATTAAACTCTCGCCCGAACCTTCTAAATTCATTGTTTGAGTTCGGCTTTGATCCCTGCGCGACTTCTTCCGCAAACTCCTTCGTTGGAGACCATTCCCTCTGTCACGTGCAATTCGGAAAATTCGCCGTAAGACAATTCTGATTCTTTTTATTCCTCGGGATAAATTATTGAACGACGAAGATTTTCCGTTTTAATTTTCAGATATACAGATGAATTTATCTTGACAAAAAATAAAATCACGCCGGTGCGCGATTCTGAATGTAAAATAAAATTTGAATGAGGGAAACTGCGTTTTTCCAACACTGAGAAAAAAATCATTTTAATATTTATTTCAGAATAGGCAACTAAACGTTTATTCAATAAAAAGAAATAATAGTTAAATCAAATTAATAGTTCTTGTATTATAAACAAATATATCTTTATATTTAGTAAATATTTAATTAGCACTATTTAAATAAAATAATTTATTAAAATTTAGTAATTTTTTTCAGTATACGTATACTTCAAAATTAGAAGTTCTCGAATATCTGGGTCGCAATTACGTTGACTTTTCCGAGGAACACCACAATTGTTTTAAAGTATTTTCTCAATTTCCATCTGAGACACGCATCATGCGGGTGCCAGTATTAAATGCACGCGTTATTTTTATTTAGACGGTTAAAGCTCGA